GTTGTTCGAAGCCTTTCCCCGTTATCTGGGATTGCCGAAGGTGGGAGGAGGTTTCCGGGGTTGTCGGGGTGTCTCGGTGGGCTCCAGCGGGGCTCGTCGTACCAGTCTCGTGTTGTGAATTTTTAATTGTTGATTTTATTTAGATTGTTTATCTTTAGTTCGGTATTAATGTTTAGATGTTTACAATTTGGGATATATGGTATATACATAAGGATTTCCTTGTTTGGATTATTTCGGTCGACGTAATATGTCTCATATTGTAGGTGTCTAAATATTAATTCTATTAGATACGGGGGAAAATAATCTTGATAGACTATGCTTAATAGATAGAGCCTCCACTCCCTCTAGCAGCCCTTTCCCTGGGGACGGATGGAGGTGATCTTGCTATAACGCTCTGACGCTCTTGTTGTTGCTCTTTTTCTTTTAATATTCTTTCAGGTAATTCAGAGTACCAGAGAGTCACAGGATGACGGAGTTCTTACATAGTCGCCGTCACATGAGATTTATTAAAGGCTCTACCGTAGTTTTATATTTTTTTTTCAGGCCTTAGAGTTTATTTCATAGTGTAAAGACAGTATGCCTTAGTACGATTTTCAGTTGTTTCTTGTCGAGTTATATTTATTCATTTTGGATATCAGATGTATTCCAGGTTATTCATTGAGACATGATTTATTTATGAGATCTTTCTTTCTATATCATGTCTATTGTAGTTATTTCCTTTCTTTTGCTTGTTTTGTACCTGTATTTTATTTTGATTCCACTAGAGGATATTGTTATGATTGGTAAAACTTATTGTTACACAGTGTGAGTGCATGGCAGGTTTAACATATCTGGGTTCATCTTGGACTGCAGTCATATGTGAAAATATGGGCGTCATATGGAGGTAGGGGTGATGAAGGGTTGAGGGAGGAGTTGAGGAGGGAGGAGGAGACGGCTGTCGTCGGGGCTGAGGGCGGTGGAGTTGGACAGCGAAGAAGAGAGGTGACGATGGTTGGGTGTGAGCTGCGGCGAGCCTGGAGGTGGAGGCGGGTCTGAGGTGGGGCTATGGGTTTAGAGGGAGAGAGAGGAGCAGGAGTTGGAGGAAGAGATTAGAGGGAGTGAGAGATGGAGTTGGAGAGAGAACGTAGAGAAGAGATTTGTAGGAGAGGGAGAGAGCGACAGGAGGTGGTGAAGTCGGTGTGTACCTCGTGGGCGGCTTGAGGTTGCGTGCGGCTCTTCGGTGGAGTGTGTTTTGTCAAAAGAAGTGGGTGTGCTGAGTTGTCCTCTGTCTAGACGAAGAACTATAGGTTCTTTCTCTTTTTACAGGGAGTGAGAGAGAGAGAGAGAGAGAGAGAGAGAGAGAGTTGTTATTAAATAAGTGTGTGATTTGTGTGATACTGATGCTTACGTTGTGTGGTGATACTAGCTGTTATATAAAAATATAGATAAGTGTGATATTATATTAGTTGTTGAATTTGTCACTGTTTTTGAGACTACTGATGTGAAAATAGTATAAAATATGCAAATTGAAATGTGTGTGACTAATGTAGAAAATACGTGTATGAGTGACTAAACAATGACTAATACTAATGACTGTAATACAGTTGCATTAGAAAATTCTAGAAAATTAGGGAAAAATATAAATACTCTTTAGAAAATAATATTTAATATTTAAATACCAGAAAAATTATTTAAACCAGCATCAGAAAATTATGATCATTACATTATTGGTTTGTGTTATTTAAATTTTACATGTTATTGGTCGCCTAGCATTGTAATTAGGAACATAAATTTCAAAATTTAAGGGTTTTTTTAAGATGAAATCTTGGTCGAGGACATCTTTGTTCGAGGGGAGCTCGAGTTTGAGTCTTTAATACTACTACGACTGACTCAATACTTTCGCTTAGAGAGTAGAGAATGCGAGCTAGAGGAGTTCAAGAGGTTCTGTGCTACGAATGATATTCGCTTAGAGAGGACTACTCCAAGGACGCCGCAGCAGAACGACATTGCGGAGAGGATGAACAGAACCTTGACAGAGCGTGCCAGGAGCATGCGATTACATGCAGGTCTGCCTAAGACATTTTGGGCGGATGCGATGCATACGGCAGCTTACCTTATTAATCACGGGCCATCAGTTTCATTGGATTTTGGGATTCCAGAGGAGGTTTGGAGTGGAAAGAAGATAAATCTCACACACTTGCGGGTATTTGGTTGTGGCTTATATTCATATCAGTGACCATGTCAGAGACAAGCTAGAAGCTAAGTCACAGAAGTGCACATTTATTGGATACGGTATTGATGAGTTCGGGTATCATCTTTGGGATGAGAAGAACATGAAGATCATCAGAAGCAAGGACGTGATATTCAATGAGGAGGTGATGTACAAGAACAAGGAAAATGCTAAGGATAGCCAAAGCCGTGGGAGCAGCACTACGGATACATGTGGATCCGAGTACATGGATTTAGAGGAACTTCCAGATAGGGGTGATGATGTTTGTTCTGATCAGAGAATGGAGAAGGATTCAGGTGCAGAAGAAACTACCCAGGACGTGGAGCTTAGGAGGTTATCCAGAGTACCCAAACCAAATCCCAGATATCTTTCATCTCTTATCTACCTATTGTTGACAGATAGCGGTGAGCCGGAGTGCTATGAAGAGGCAATGCAAGTGAGTGAATCTCAGCAGTGGGAGCTTACTATGCAGGAGGAGATAGATTCTCTACTCACTAATGAGACATGGGAGTTAGCCCAGCTACCTGCACAGAAGAAAGCCTTACATAACAAATGGGTCTACTGGGTCAAACAGGAGAGTGATGGAAACAAGAGATTTAAGACCATATTAGTAGTGAAGGGGTTTCAACAGCGGGAAGGAGTGGACTACATGGAGATATTTTCCCCTGTTGTGAAACTCACAACCATCAGAGTGGTGTTAAGTTTGGTAGCTGTAGAAGACCTCTTCCTTGAGCAGTTAGATGTGAAGACTGCCTTTCTTCATGGTAATTTGAATGAAGAAATCTACATGAAGCAGCATGTTGGCTTTATTAAAGAAGGAAAGGAGAGATGGTGTGCAAGCTCAAGAAGAGCTTATATGGTTTGAAATAGGCTCCGAGACAGTGGTATAAGAAGTTTGATAACTTCATGCAGAACAATGGCTGCAGAAAATGTAATTCGGATCATTGCTGTTATTTCAAAAGGTTCGAGTCCAGCTTTATTATTTTGTTATTATATGTTGATGACATGTTGGTAGTAGGTCCATGTTTAGAGGAGATAAACAGTTTGAAGAAGCAGCTAGCAAAGGAGTTTACAATGAAGGATCTGGGGTAGCGAAGCAGATTCTAGTGATGCGAATCAGTAGGGATGAAGCTGAAGGAACATTGAGATTGAGCCAAACTAAATACGTTGAGAAGGTACTTCAGAGGTTTAACATGCATAATGCTAAAGTTATTAGCACACCCCTTGGAAGTCAGTTCAAGCTATCTGAGGAGCAATCGCCTAAGACAGATGCAGATAGAGAGCATATGAGTAGGGTGTCATATTCTTCGGCCATTAGGAGTCTCATGTACGCGATGATTTGCACAAGACCGGACATCGCCCATGCAGTGAGAGTTGTGAGAAGATTTACAAGCAATCCAGGGAAGCAGCATTGGAAGGCCGTGAAATGGATAACGTGGTACTTGAGAGGGACAACGAACAAGCTATTATGTTTCAGGAGGAAGGAGTTGATGCTGCAGGGATACATGGATGCGGACTTCGTCGGTGATCATGATACGAGGCGAAGCACCACGAGGTATGTTTATACCTTAGCGTCGACAGCAGTGAGCTGGATCTCACGTCTGCAGAAGATTGTGACTTTATCTACAACCGATGTTGAGTATGTCGCGGTGACTGAAGCAAGCAAGGAGATGATCTGGTTGAACGGGTGCTTGGAAGAGTTGGATCTGAAGCAAGGGAGAGGAGTTCTTTATGAAGAGTTGGATCTGAAGCAAGGGAGAGGAGTTCTTTATTGTGATAGCCAGAGCGCTATACATCTTGCTAGGAATCCAGTATATCATGCCAGAACGAAGCACATCGACGTCAAATATTATTTTATACGCTCGCTAGTTGAAGACGAAAAGTTGTATTTGATAAAGATTTTGGGGAGTCAAAATCCTGCGGACATGTTGACAAAGACAGTCACCATTGAAAAACTGGAGTTGTGCGCAACTTCAGTTGGCCTTCACAAGTAGAAAACAAAGGCGGAGCCACACTACGAGGATTGGCGAGATCGTCGGGATATTGATGATTGAAAAATGGATTTTTCAAGTAGGAGAAGATGTTTGCGAAGAAGGTGGAGTTTGGGAGAGCTCATTGATGATGGTTTGATCTCCAAGTAGGAGATTGTTGGTCTTGAGAGTGGAGACCCAAACCTAGAATCAAAATCAACAATTACATAAAAATTTAAGACAGGCCATGGGTGTGGTCTGCGCCACACCAGGGTATGGCAGAATCTGCCTTGTCTGCTATGGGTGTGGTCTGCGCCACACCAGGGTGTGGCAGAGTCTGCCCTGTTTGTCATGGGTGTGGTCTGCGCCACACCAGGGTATGACAGACTCGTTTTAGAATCCTAATCTGTTTTAGAATCCTAATCTGTTTAAGAGAGAAAAAGAGCACGAAAAAGAGGGTTTTGAGGGCTTTTTGATATTAGAAATCTTAGAGAAAGAGAGGCCAATTGCAAGCATTGTAATCTTCTTCAAGTAATCAAAGAATTGTGTGGTGTGACTCCCGAGAACGTAGGCACGTTGCCGAACATCGTTAAATCTGGTGTGTTCTTTCTTGTTTACTTTCCTACAAGTTTTTATCTTTGATTTGTGGTGAATTTCTTTCTTGCTCAACTCTCAAACACAAGATCCGGAAGGGTACGGATTTGATTTGATTATTTTAAATCCCCAACATCTTGCTCAACTCTCAAACACAAGATCCGGAAGGGTACGGATTTGATTTGATTATTTTAAATCCCCAACAAGTTCTTATTCACATCACACGATTTGTAACGAAAATAGGCGGATCCCGATCTATTTATTCATCAGCCCTAATGGAAGCTTAAATTTCTCAGATTACACTGATACATTTATCAAAAGAAAGAAAAAAAAAGAATAAGAGCAGGAAAAAAAAATGAAACGAGAACAATTCATCCAGAATCGATTTCTTATCACTGCGACGTGCTATGCTGAACCATTTAGGTGTATGGAGGAGGAATCGGCAAATCCTTGATGAATCCACAGAGCAAAGTCTCGTTGCGCATGCTGTACTCGTCCCTCAGGGATCTCTCCGGAGACACTACGCTGATGTAGAGCTGCTGTCCCTGCACGGATCTCTCCAGGATGTTGGATCTCAGGTTCCACATTCCGGCGTTGTCGAAGGTCAGCATGATCGCCGTCCAGGATTTTGGGTACACTTGGATGGTGTGCCTGCTGACAGCGTCGAGGAGATTGTATCCTTGCCTGCTTTCTGGCTTCCACTTGCCCGGTCCCATTCTGCACATACGATGCCCATGAGATATGGTAGGTGTTAGAATTTAGAACGGATCACAATCACCCACCGATGAAATATATGAGGTGTTTCAGTTTGCAGAATTTTTCGAAATTTAAATAGGATTTCTGAAACCTTTCCCAAATTTAGGAGGGAATCCTGTGATTTTGAAAGTTTCACGGAAGAAGTTGAGGTCTATTTGACGGATGGATCCCCTGAGGCTCTTTTACCCTCAGAGGGTCTGTTTGTCAGGAAACAATTGGGAAAATTTGCAAAATAGTCTGTTTTTGCTAATTATTTAGCAAAATAGACCGTTTTGCTAAATAATGGGAAAATTTGCAAAATAGTCTGTTTTTGCTAATTATTTAGCAAAATAGACCGTTTTGCTAAATAATTAGCAAAATAGAAATAGTCTGTTTTTGCTAATTATTTAGCAAAATAGACCGTTTTGCTAAATAATTAGCAAAATAGACCTCTTTTGTAAAAAAAAAAGGTCGATTTTGAAAAACAAGACTCAGAAAACATACAAGACTAGTAGTCTCGTATGTTTTCTGAGTTCATCTCAATGTTTTGTGAAATTTTCTGAGTTCACTAATCTGTGATTAAAACATACGGGACTGCTAGTCCCGTATGTTTTCTGAGCTGTTTTGCAAAACAGACATCTTTTTGGCCTGTTGGCCAAAAAAGAGGTCTATTTTGCTAAATAATTAGCAAAACGGCCTATTTTGTAAATTTTCCCAAAACAATTTTATCATTTCCCTCAAAGCAAAAAAGTTTTTAAAGATTTCACTCACTGAGTCTATCTGCAAAAAGAAATGTGCAACTTACCCAACAGGGAAAAAGGAGTATCCGTCTAAATGATAGGACTGAAGTGACCTCTCCGAATTCTGCAAAATGATCTCCACAAAAGTCCTGAACTCGATCCTAACCACATTTGGCGCCACCTTAATAACCCGACTCTCCTTCTGTGGCGGCAAATCCCCGATCAAATCGTACTGAAACACCCTCTCACTGGCGTTGTAGTACTCCGCCAACTTCAACGGCACTTCGGCGTCGACGTGCGAAACCCCGTTGAGCGCATACTTCCGCTTCCCGTCGACCATCCCCGTCGAGCTGTCCAGCACGATCGTCCTCGTTATGTTGATCGACCCGTAATGGTACGACCCTTGCGGGTTAGGCCGAGCGGCGCTCGCCGTCAGGTTCCAACGGAACGACCGCCATTGGTTGAACGACCACGCCCAGCCGGTCGCGGCTCGCGTCGGGATCGCCTCTTGGGGGGGGGGGATCCGTGCGACGCCTCGATACTGTGACGACGGCCGTCCGGTCGTCACGCGTTTCAAGAACCGTCGTGTCGACGCATGTAGTAGTCCGCGACGGCTCTGCGGCGTGACCAGGACGGAGTAGCATTGCCGCCGGGTGCACGTCGGCGAGCCGTACGTGTTCTGTACGGTTGTTGGGACCCGTCGATTCTCGCACGACGCTATGTCGTGGTTTTGAGCCGGGAAGTTGAGCGTGGAGCCTCGTCCGGACGTTGCGATGCGGTAACGGTAGGTTTTGGGACGGCCTCCATCGTGAACGTCCGTGCCCTGGATTTCCCGTTGAGAGGACGACGGAGGGGCGGGCCGAGGCTGCGGCGCTGTCGAGGATGCGCGCCGAGGGACGCCTGTGCGTTCTTGGAGTACGTCGTCGCGATGAGGACGGAGAAGTCGTCGCGGGGAGGTCGAAGGGACGGGGACGAGGAGGCGGCTGTGGATTTTGAGGCTGCGTAGCCGCCGCGGCTTCTATTGAGGGACGGAGGGCGAAATAGGAAAGTAGCTGCCGATCTGGTCTTTCACTTGGAAGTGGAAAGTGTAGTTTGTGCCCGGGAGAATCGGGCAGTTTGTTCCCGGCATTCCGTCCATCCATGAGTTCTTCCTTTGTTGGATACCGTTCCTACATAAACATGCATCGTTCGACGTAATTCCCTCTAGAACTCAAATCTTTAGAAGCGAGACTCGAAAATTTTAACGATCGATGCATGTGCAGATACTGTCAAAGTCAGCGTTTCAGAATTTTCATAAAATCGATTTTTTTTTTCTTTTTTCCATATACGGTTCGATGCTGTTCGAGCAAACAAGTTGCTAGTCATCTCGTTATGGTCTCCAGCGAAGCGGATATTTATATACGATTGACATATACTATGCATAGTAGCTTAGCTGAGGTCGAACACGTTTAATGTTAAACTTCTAATGTGGAGGAACAAGAATAATAATGCGAAAACGAGCTACTAGCTAGCATACCAGGTGAAGAGTAAGGGCTCGTCGAGGAAATTGAAGATGTTGACGACGATGTTGTTGTTGCTAGTACAGTTGATCTCCGGACCCGGGAACTGGCCGTTGATCAAAATCCCCCTCTCGGGGCCCCCGAGGGGGCTGATCGTGCCGTAGGTGACATTCCAGTCGAAAAAGAGGTAGGGGTCTTCAGCGAGCGAGAGGCCGAGGAGGGAGAGGAGGACAACGGAGACGACGACCAGTCTCATCTTTCTATTTCTTTCTTCTACCTCTTGAAACCTCTCTAACGCTGAGGTAACATAAACCTGAAGTGTTACGAATGCTAATGGGAGATGAAGAGTAAAGAGGATGGAGAGGAGTTTGTAATTTTGAGGAGGGAGAGTTCGTTGTGTTAACAAGAGGAGTTTTCACTACGAGGGGATGGCTCTCCTTAAGTTTATGTCCAAGGATTGCGCGGGGACTCAGGGGGCTTCCGTTGAAAATTGAAGACACATGTTTGGACGAAGCTGTTGGCTTTGACCTCTTCTTCCTCTCAACTCAATTTCTATACGTTTGGTGCCTCACCAATGTACGTAGTTAGCGGATGAAGGAGATTAGAGAGGTCGCAGATGTCAAGCATATATCATGACTATTAATTAAAATTAATTAAAATCTAGAATTATAACTGAAACACCTCCAATTGAAATCCACCCGTCATCGAAGAGGAGCAATACTGAGAGATAGGCTCTCAAATTTCTATTTCTTCATATTATCTTCGTAAGATTTTATGTCTCATCATAAGACTACATATGAACTCTATTTATAGGACCAAACTAGTCATAGAGATTTTAACTTTAAACAATTCATAATTATTTAGAACTCTATCCATAACAATTAAGGATAGAAATAGATTTGTTCAAAACTTTATCTATAACAATTAAGAATAGAAATAGAATTTGTTCAAAAACTTTATCCATAACAATTAAAGGTAGAAATAGAATTTAATTTGTTCAAAAACTTTATCCATAACAATTAAGGATAGAAATAGAATTGCATTGCATGTATACCTCTTTTAATGACATTAGTGAGACCAATTGGGTCCCATATCGAGAACCAATTATTAATCAAATTAATAATTTTAATTTAACAATTAAATCCCTATCCGACCAACTGTTCATAAAAGCTCTTCCATAATATGGGATTAATTATTAATAAATAATATCTTACATTCAGCCCCCTCCAGCATTATTTATTTTATAGGCAACTCTTTTAAGAAAGACAACTCACATATTTGCCTAAATTGCAATTCTCATCATGAACATGAATAAAAATCATTTTGAAACATCAAAATATTTTATTTTTATAAGAAAGTAAATTTAAAAAATATTTTTAAAACCACCTTCCGGTAGGAATTTAATAGCTTCATGGGATTGCATAATAAATTAACTCATCATAATGAGCATACTGGATCCTATTTAAACATCTATCATTTTTCTAAACGAAATTTAGCAACCCAATGTTTCAGGTTGTGTAGCGCTTGCTAAACAAGTTTAACCATCACATCAAAGCATACTAAATTATTAAATCGAAAATAACAATATCATCAAGTCAAAAGGACCATGTAACAATTTAAATTCTCCATTTCTTAGGTGACTCGTCCTAGAGAATTCAAATACGGTCTAGTGCTACACACATCATAATGTATGCTTATGACATACACCCGGAGAATCCCCATTCTCGGTGGTTGAGACCCACCACCACATCTCATATATCAGTGTCATGCATAATAACATGTTATAACAAAGTTATCCTCTACTAGTTATAGGTTAAGCACAAATTTAAGAAAGTTTCTAAGTTTGATCATATCTCCAAGCAAGTGACCATCACAGTGCATGATCTAACAAAATAACTTCTAAGGATATATAACAATTATATAAATAACACACAAATTATATGTGCAACAATTAAATTTATTAACATTACAATATTATTACATAATTTGTATTGGATGTTCAAGGGCAAATTATTATTACTATTCCAACACTTACATGCAACTAGATTATTTTTGCTCAGTTGGAATTATTTGTTTCATTATCGCTACATTGTAACAATACGCTTTCGGTTAAAAACCCATTACCTAACTCGTTATGTTGCATAAAATCCATTTCATAACCCGTTACGTTGAGTTGTGTAACCTAAGGTACCTTAAATGTTACCTAACTTTATGAAATAACTCAACATCATAACTTGATGTTATTTTAACATAATATGTGTTATTTCAATATAAAAAGTATTATTTTAATATAACACACATTATTTCAATATAACTTACGTTATCTCAATATAAGTTCTAGAGACCTGAGAGTATATCCTTTCCCAACTCTTGAAGTAGTTAACTAATTATTTTTGAATTGTTTGTTAAGCTCTCATGTTGGTGACATTATTATTTAATTGTGAAATTATGGATGTGACTATTAAAACGAATATAATTATGAAGGAGGTATGAATTTATGATTACATAATTGAATATTCCATTGTGATACTTCCTACCAAATCTAACTTGTATTAAATTAAGGAAATTTTAGTAAAATATTTTCGTATTATGATATTTTGTTCATAATTCTTAAAATTATTATGAACATCTTTTATATTTTTATAAATTAAATAGTAAGAAAATATTTTGTTTCTAATTATAATGTTATGTTCGAAAATTTCCATATTTCTACCTATTAAACTCATTATGAATAGTTTGTACTTATAAAATATATGTATACAGTTAATAAATTAAACAACCTACGTCATGCATTACAGTTTTTTTTTTTCCTTTCCCTTTTGTGTTTTTTCTTTAACCCTTTATAAGAGGTAGGGTGTTAAGTATGTGTTATCGTTATTTTCAATATTGCTACGACTTATATCAGATCTAGATGTAGCTTACACTTGTAACTCAAACCAACAAGAAAGAACCCTATAGTTGCAACTAGAGTTTCAACTGTAGTTCATGTAACAACAACAAGTTTAATTACGTACAAGTGACAGTTGCCTTATAACCTTCATGCTATCAAAGAGCGTCCTCACAGAAAAAGGGCAGTAAAATCAAACTATGTTTCACATCCAAATTTAATTTATAGGCATAAGGAAACTGTGGCATTCGCATCTATGCCTACTGAAACATCAGCTACCATAATTTTCTAAGCCAATTAGATGTAAGGTTGATACCTCATTCAAACGGAAATTACTTTTATCCATAACCATTATACACTATAGGACAGAGTATAATGATAATGATAATAATAATAATAATAATAATCATAGATCAGAAGATATTTCTCTGCTCGTCCAGTGTTATTAAAATTCAGATCATAAAAAGCTTGAGCGCTCATACAAGGGTACAATCGCCAAATGGAAAGCAGTGTATCCAAACGATTTCACAGGTACTTGAAAGGAGGCAGAAGAATAAATAAATGAGGACACAAAACTACAGAAAACTTTATTTTGAACAAGTGCTCGAAATAATATCTAAATCCCAAAAGACAAATACTCAGATGTCAAGTTACTTTCTTGTGTACAGTTACACCTGATTTCGCGAAATATGAACAATTACCCGATACAGAAAACATTATAGCCACAAACTTAATAGCTCTAACAAACAGAGTACAATCCAATAAAGAAACCAATTTTGCATAATCTGAAATTACATTTCACATTGCTGCAGAGAGAACAAAGAATTTGACAATTAAGAATATTGAGTGTATACCCTTATTGTGCTAGAAATCAAAACAATAAGGGCTAAAAAATAGAGGGGGGGAATTAAATCTACATCCTTCCAAGACACTGGATGGCACCAATCCAATTCGAGATGCCAGCCAAATTAATCATCCAAATCATATATCACAAATGAATGGTGCAATCAAATAATGTCCAAATTAACCCGCAACACCAATGTACAGAACTGATGCAATGCTTCGAGTAAGTACTCCATATATGCACTCTTCTTGTTATGTAAGAGATATTGAACCACCAAAGAATATTTGATGTTCACTGCTGCCCTTTTCTCTTTGATCCAAACAGTAAGTGTGTCGTACTATCGAGCCAAGAGGCTTTCATCCCTCTCTTCATATCAAACTTCGAGAACACAAGAATGGCTACAGCTAGTTAAACTAGTGGTTTATGTTGCATTGATCCATAAACTGGTCTCCGTGTGTGAGGAATTTCTTCCAGTATTTCCTATATTTTGGTATCCCGAGGTCAAGCCAAGGTTTCATGTTGCCATTGTAGTGCAGGATGCCAGCATTCTTTATGGCATCTGCATCGATTCTATAATCGTAGCCTAGTCCCGAGAGAACCCAAGAATCATCTAGAGGGAATATCTGATTCTGGAAAGCAAGTAAGCTAGTTGGTAATGCTGCGGCTCTCCAGGAGGCCTCACTTCCATTATGGAACTGCAAAAACCAAAGAGAAGATTAGAATTTCTGGACTAAGATGATAGTTTACTGTTCTTTGGTTTACGGAATAGAACAAATTTCAGATAATCTGTTTTATTCAAGGTTAGGTTTTAAATATCAGATATAAGGGAAATATCAGATGGCCAAAATTCATATCAGATTGCGGATATAGAGGAAATTTCGCATAGTATAATGCACTAAAATGTAATATCAACATACTTAATGAAATCTAAGAATACTAAATGTAAATAATATATGTTTAGGATCACTAATCAACCTTGTAAAACAAACAAAAGTATAAATCAACATTGCAACATTTCATTTGATTTTTTAGGCCTAATGGGAGAATCATGATGTCTTGGTGACAAGCCATATAAAAGCATATATTGGCCAACATATCAGCTGATATATGGGCCATACAGGGAATATATCGCCCAAAATAGGCACAAAAGTGGTAAAGGGTATTTAGAGACCATGCCGGCTACGTTAAGCCTTGTAAAAGGATATATCGGGTAATATATTTAAAACAATGGTTTTACTAGTATGATACATCAGTCCTTTCCTTATTGCATTAGATGTAATTTTTCTGATAAAATAAGTACTTGAATGAGACTTCGAGAACTATTGTTCAGCCAAAACAGGAAAAGACACTAGAAATACAGCTAGATCTAGCCATCTGCTGAAACTTGTACAAAGGCAGTTAGGATTAAAAGCACAAAGGTTAACAGCAAGGAATTGCCACATGGAACAAAGCAATGTATACTACCATACTGAATCTAGTTAATCTGCAAAAGCAAATAAAAGATTTCAAAGGCTAGCATGTAGCATGTCCAAGCTTCTTGTTTTCTTTTATTTTCTAATTTCTATAAAAAAAGGAGTAAGATAAGAAAACAGCCAAGCATATCACTCTACAGTCTGTGTTATGAAACCCTTGCATAAAGCCTGCAGCAAGCATAGAAAAGGAAAGAGAGAATACTACTTACCTTGGGAAGGGCTTGCTGGTGTTTTCCAGTAATTTTAAGCTCGCGCCACTTCTCCAAATCAATTACATTTAACCCAGACATCCAGGAACAGGAATCCCTATATTGATGGTTTCCCATATAAGATTTCAGCTGTCCTAGCTTCACCTTGCAAAACTTCACAGCACCATTGACTTTCCCATGCAAGTCAATATCCCATAATGAGGACAAATCCCTCTGGACTACCACATCATCATCCAATACTACCACCTTCTTCAGATTCTTGAATATCTCAGGAATAAGAAAATGTGAATGGCCAAACACCGACGTAAATTCTGTTCTCATCTGGGCAGGAGATGATTCATCATTGGTAAGTATTGAAATACGGAATTCCTCAGAAGATGAAAGTTGTGGTAGACCCGAACTATAGGAGTTAAGCTTAAAGTCTTTCATATTCATGACATGAACAACTGCCGCTTTGTAAGATTGCCTACTAAACCAGAGCTTCATAGTATAAAAATTCTCTTCATCAGTCAGCACATTGAAAACCATATTTCCTGTTTTCTGTTATACCAAGAACTTAAGTCAATGATCCAAACAGACACGAGTCATTAGATATACAGCAAGTAGAGTATGGCACTGTACCTTAGAGCACATAACAGTGGAATTGATAGTAACAGATGCTGCAAGTACATTGCGAGAAAAAATTATGTACTGCCGGTAACTTGGGTTATCAAGCTTGTGAGCATGTGCCTGCTCTATATCTGCTGGTGGTGCTCTGAAATATTCTACTGTTAATCTCATCGACAAGCAGTGGTGACTTTTGGGCATTGTCTGGACACCGAGATGATGCAAGAATGCACTTTGCTTCATATGGAAATGAGCTTCATCCTCAGTAAGATCAAGTATCTGCCTAAGTTTCTTGTCAACATTGTTACAATCTACAGGACATGTCTTGGCTTTTGCTATAGTCCGGTCCATCCTCTCTATCTTCTTTTGAACACTGATAAGGAATACATTTAAACCAAAAAACTTTAACCACTGAATTCATCGTTAATTAAAAGAAAGACAGTGTGATAAAAAGATAACTTAAAAATTCAATATGCTCATAATGGAAATCTGGAAAGCACAGAAATCTGAAAATTAACTATTGGTTAATACATTTATGAGTTAACATTGCAAATCAATATCTCTTCAGGATTGATAGATATTAATATGCCCATTCACCCTTAACGCATGAAGCATGGATTTCTCCTGATACAAACAGTTTGGCAGAGTGCACAGCTCCTGATAAAGGTTAACGGTGATTAGAAGAAAACTCTGCACAACTTCGAAAGATACACCCTAAGAAAGTATGACAATATGGAAGTACATAATAATGAAAAGTACTGATGCTATGGTCCAAGTAATGTGCTTATTACATCTGTCGAACAGTGAATAATCATACTAGGGTGCACGTGTTGTGCTTGTTAAATCTGCCCAGAAATACAAAGACTTCGTTCTCAAGCATTATGCATCAACGTAAACAAAAGGCGCAGGTATGTATGGAAAGGCCAGCAACATGATGAAATCACCACTTACAATGATGGAAGGTCAGGATCTGAAATGGCTTCACTAAGCATGCGCTCGTGGTCCTGAATGTTCTGCTTCATTTCTCGTGACAGCTTCTCCTGTCCTTTAAGCTTCGCAATAGTTGGATAGTAAGCTCTTGCCACAAAAACTTGATCTTTCAGTCTCTTTACAACTGAATCTTTCATCACTTCTTTATGTTCTTTGGACCAAAGGCAGTAGCTCCCAAATTCGAGAAGACAAGATTTTTGAGTTGCATCACCATTTGAACCTTTGGGGGTGTTCTTTCCAGCTTTTCTACCATCCTGACAAAAGCAAATAAAGAAGCCGTTCAATGTAAAGGTTAATATAATTGATGCCATATACTAATAACAGCAGTGTGTTTTAGAAAGAGGATGAACAGTTTATCTTGTAGATGTGGACTAAACAATAGTCGAACAGCACGCACTAGTAAAGTAATACTGGAAGAGAGTTAAATGCAAAATTCATTCATGAAATTACGCATTTATATTAAGAAGTGGAGAAGAATTTAGATGAATGTGAAACCAAGATCTAGCAGTGCAACATGAAGGTTAGAATCAGAGAGTTCAATTGACAAGATCAAAGTTTTAAAAGGTTGCCAAAATATAGAAGATTTTTGCAAAGTACACAAATTGGTAATAAAAATGATCGCAAAGCACTTATTTGGGCAAGTCTAAAGCATTTGATAACTTCTGTCCGAGTACAAAAAGGAAGGAACTCATAGGGCTAGTAACAAATTGATAGAGGAATGGTACTGAATACTTGGAGAAAAAATCTCCCTAAGGGGACAGGATGGGAGTTGTCTAACACTGCAAATCTGAGCAATTCATTCATGGACAGCTCATCAACGCTAATCATGAGGCACTCATGCTAGTTTTCTTCACGTATCAACTCAAGCTCAAACTTGAACTTAAGCTAGCCTGTCAAATCTAGAGCTATAACAAGCTTTGCTGGAGATTGAAGACAATGCAACTTTCTATACATAATTACATGAGTTGCTGAATGTCTACTACTACAACAACAAAAGCATTCTCCAAATACTTGGAGCTCAGATACGCTATGAAGGTAATCTTAAATGGATATTCAGGTCTGTTTGATGAGTGAGTGGCAGGGTGGAAAGGTGGATTAGGGATCAAAAAGCTTACAACAGTTATTATGCTCCAGTTAGATTTTCTACATTTTTGAAGAAGGCATAGAAGAGGAACAAGGATTCTAAGGATAGGGAGAAAGGCAGGTGATGAGAGAGAACGTAATGTCCCTAGTGAGAATTCCAGTCACGTCTAAATAGCTCTTGCCAACAAGTTGATTGCTGTTACCAGCACAATTAGAAGAGCATAATGTAAAATCAAACAAACAAAATTTAAGCACAAAATTAAAGATAGGCATATGGTCCATCTAACTAGTCTTACTTTAGGATTTGGAACTGAAGTAGCCTCTGAAGAAACACTGTGTGATCTAGGTGGACCTGCAAGTAATTAAGGACTCAATGAACAATTTAGACATAGACCAACACGATTTTAACAAGCAAAAGAGATTCAAGAACAAAAGAATAAAGGCACATCTGGCATACCTTTAGAGTTAACTTCCCCTTGTTTGGTGTGGGAGGTATGTTTAGGTTGTGAAATAAATTCTCCTTTACTATCTGTAGGATTCTTATTATCCTTGTGGAAAGCAACCTCACCTTTGCCCGTACTGATAACTTCCTGTACAAACCATAGAAATTTGACCCACTAATTCATTGCACACAAAACCCAAGTGTCAAAATATCAACTAAGATATCCAAATTGATCTATTAACCAACAGTCCAAACAATGGGAGCATTTAGAGAATTTTCAGTATGCTCATTTTCAACTTTAGGTAAATAAAACAGATTCACGCCATTTCATGGTATAAAAGGGTAATATTTTCAAAAAGGCCATGAATGCAACTGCTTTGGATAGCATATCATCTTGGTTTTAACTTAAAATATGTGCATTTCCTTGTTCAACAAATTCCTATATGTAAAGAGTTACAGATAATTATGTTTCCTTTCGGGTTTCAGATTTTTGTGTGCTGGTGGACGGGTGGCAAGATGAAGAATTTCAGTGGTTGGTAGGCTGATTGCTTAAGGAAATGTTCGGCAGAAGAACATTGGTCATAGTGAATAAGGACTAATTACCATGCGAACAAATATAGTTCAGACACTAGTGTAGACAAGAAAAAAGTAAAACATACTAAAATCACTGCTCTTAAACAGAATTTATCTCGCATATATTCACAGCCAAGCAAACACCTAAAATAACTAGGATACTACTAATGCGCAAAATTTTTAATAAGTTCTTCAAAGATTAAAACAAACATCCAATTAGTCTAACAAGCTACAACATTGACTAGTTAAAAAGTGTGCAAAGAGAAGGAATGAACCTGTGGCAAAGTCGGCTTAAATTTGTCTACAAGTTCATTAATTCTCTTATCCTCCTGCCACCCAATAAAACCGCACATTGAAACACTAAGTTTAGATCCACAGTAAAAAATCAAAATTATCACCAAGAAAAAAAGAAACCGAACCTCCTTCTGATTCTCATCACCTTCCTCCATCTTGTTATCATTTGCAAAGCTATTCGCCTAACCATCAGATAACCCAACAAAATCAGCCAACATATCCCAAAAAGAAAAGGGCCAATTGCACTTAATTACTCTACAGCATCAACACTTAAATTTGATATCTTGGAAGTTCAAATTTGCCCAAATAATACCATAAAGTTTCATAAATTTTATCTTTAATAACCTCAGTTATCCCACTGTTTAGACATTTGTTTAAAAGGCCTCACATTTGGACCTCTGCATCCCCAAAATTCCATCCATGTCCCTCTCTTCCTTCTTCAGTCAACTAAAAGCACTAAAATTTGGCATTGAATTGTAACAAAAACAACCCCTGCTTAACAATTTTCACAATAAAATTCGATGTGAATGCCCTAAACTGAAAGCAAGAATGAACACGAAATGTTTTCTGGGAAAATTTATACTTCCAGGTGAAAACTTGACTAAACTTCAAGGTATTAAAGTGCAATTAACCCCAAAAAATATTTAAAAAACGAAATAGAAAAATCCCTCACCAGAGACGGCGAACTCTCCTCTGCGTTATATCCTGCACAACAAAATCCAAAAATGAAAACAAATCAGTGGTTTCAAAAATAATGAAAACAAGATCCCAACTCCCTCTAACCAGATCTCCGCTCGATCTCACCAGATCCAAACAAACCCTAGGGTTAGGGTTTCGAACCAAGAACTAACCATTAGGGAACCGATTGTGGAGTCCAAGGAGCACCGATCCCGTGCCGATGAGAGAGAGGCGCTTCGCTGTCGGAGGATGACCGGAAGCGGCGCTGTGACTCTTCATCGATCCGAGAACTGCAAAACCTCAAGATCTTGATGAGATCTTCTCTCTGATTCGCATCGTACGAGTAAAAAACGAAAATGTTAAAGAAATTTGCGGTCGAAGAGGCGAGAGCGAGAGAGAGTGAAGAAGTGAGGAGAGAGAAAATGAAAGAGTGAATCTTTTTATGATTGGGGTTTTGAAATTAGGGGTGAAATAGATTGATTGGGATTGGGTTAATTAAATGATTAATTAGATTAATTAAATTAATTTATTTTTTAGAGGGGGCCGCCAAGTACCCATATGTTGTCAGCATTAAAGTGGGTAATTCATACTGTGAAAGACTTGGAAATGCTCAAAAAGATAAGAGCATCTCCAAGGGGCCGGAAAAATCCGGCCCCTTAGCTAAATTAAGGGGGATTTAAGGGAGATGTGGTCCAAGGGACCGGAAAAAAAACCCCTTCACCCCATGTCCCTTAACTTCCTCACCAAATTAAGGGGAAGGTTAAAGTCCCTTAACCTTCCCCTTATAATTTTATATTAATATATATGTTTTTAGAATTAATTTATAGTTAATTAAATTTAGTTAATGTATAGTTAATTTAAAATAATATAATTAAGTTAATGTATAGTTAATTTAATTTGATTAATATTTTATTCTAAATTAATTATTTGTTAAATTTTAATATGAATAATTAATTTAATGATTATATAAGGTAATTTCTTAATTTAAATTAATTAATTAATTATTTTTAGTTATTAATATTTATTTATTTATTTATTCATAAATAAACCACATATTTAATTAAATCCTAATCTATAAAATTAAAAAACTAAATATAATTAATTAAGGGGTAGGGGACTTTTAAGGGGGAACCATTGGAGAAGAACCAACCCCTCCCTTAAAGTTCCCCCTAGATTAAGGGACATCCAAGGGATCCCTTGGAGATGCTCTAAGGGCCTAGATAGAAAATGCATACCCTTTCGTGCTAAATTATTGAATATACTCATTTTGGTATTATATTGAGTTAATTAGTGTATTTTGTTTGCATTGACATTTTTAACTATTTGCACTGAATTTTATTGTTTAGATTGGCTTTGTATATAGCTCGTACTGACGTAAAATTAATAGTGGGACGTCATTCCTTTTTTACTTACATACTCTTTTATGACGTACGGTAAACTCAATTTTAGAATTGACTGGCTTTGCTTTATATAAGTATACATAATAAGTAATAATTTAGTGTTATCATTAATGTTTTTTTGGTGATTTTGACTAGAGTATAATATTTTTCTTGAAGTATTTATTGCAAATTCGAATGATTACTAATGTTGTTATATTTGAAACATTCAATGCACATACTACACTTACACATAAGAATATGATGGCGTAGATCATGTTATTGGATTTCATAAGTATAATGGACAGTGCTTGTGAATTATCTTGTTGGATTTAATCTAATAAATCTATTTGTGGGCACATATGATTAATCAATGTGTATTGCTATCTTTCAGGATAACCCACTAAAGTGATCAATTAAGTTGGGTTAATGGGTATTTAAATATAATCATGGGTTATATGTGCAGATACCAGGTTGTAATTGTGATTTATTGAGGGGCTAAATTACAAAAGTACAACATCTATAAATAAGGGGTTATGGTCCCTAACCTAGAGTTACACTTTCTAATTCTCTTCACCCCCATCTAGAGAGAGAAATTCGGATTTAGAGAAACCCTAAGGTTAGAAGATCATTGAAACCCAAATCAAGATTTCTTCTATGGATTCAGGTATAAGCTTCCGCACTCTTTTGATTATTGTTAATCTCTTTGAATTAATCAATGGCTATATGGTTTTAGATCTAACAAGTGGTATCAGAGCCACCTTGATTAATTCTTAGGGATTTAAGTTTTATTGGGTTTTTGATCTTAAATCTCTTGTTAAAGATTCAGTTTTGTTTTTCGGATGAACAGTAAATTTTTTTTGTTCGGATGAACAGTAACGAAAATTTTTCGGGTGAACAGTAAAGTTTTTGTTCGGGTGAACAGTAACGAAATTTTTTCGGGTGAACAGTAGCTTTTGGAATTTTTTGGCTTTTTCGGCGGTTTTTTCTTGGATCTGGATCAAGAAAACTTTTTTTTTCGATTCTAGATCTGTTTTTTGATTTAATGGCGGCGGTTTTTTTTTTCGATTCTAGATCTGTTTTTTGATTTAATGGCGGCGGTTTCAGTTTGAAACCCTAAGGGTTCGTGCGTGAAAACGTGGCGAACATTAAGGAGGTGGTTACCTCAAATTTTGGCGAAGCGGTAAGCTTCAAACGAACCTCGCGTTCGTTCAATTTTAACCGAACTTCGCGTTCAAACGAACTTCGCGTTCGTTCTCAAGTGAGCCTCGCGCTCAACGAACTTCGCGTTCGTTCTAAGGTGAGCCTCGCGCTCAGTTCTAAGGTGAGCCTCGCGCTCAGTTTTCAGTCGAACCTCGCGTTCGTATTTAAGTCGAACCTCGCGTTCGTGCTTCAGTCGAACCTCGCGTTCGTGCTTCAGTCGAACCTCGCGTTCGTGCTTCAGTCGAACCTCGCGTTCATCTTTTTTAACGAACCTCACGTTCGTTCTCAAGTTGAACCTCGCGTTCATTTTTTCAAACGAACCTCGCGTTCGTTCTCAAACGAACCTCGCGTTCGTGCTTAAGTGAGTCTCGTACTCAATACAGTCGAACCTCGCGTTCGAAGTCAAGCGAACTTCGTGTTCACTATGGTTAAACCTCAGCTTTTTATGGGTCCACTTTGGTATACTTAATTTATTCAATTAAGTTATGGGCCCTAATTAAGCTGTGAGACCCCAATTAAGTTTTTTTGGAAATTCAGTTGATTTAAATTAAAACTTTTTAATTTAAATCTAATTTGGTTTATAATCAATTATTTAATTCAAATATTATGACACTAAGGTATTAAGGTTGTCTCTCACTCCAATTGATTAATTGAAACAAGAAGTTGCCAAAGTAACCTCTCTTGTGTAGATTATTCATGAGGAATGTGAGATGTTTGTGTGTATGCTTTCGTGTAAATATTTAATCGGCCCAAAGGAAGGTTAATATTTATTTAGACTGTATACACATCTGCGATGATAAGCGTGTGACAATTATAAGGTTTACATGTGAATAATGAATCGATCCAAAGATAGTTTCATTATTTGACATGAGTTATTGTCAATGTTTGATCATTGCAACAAGGTATCACTTACAAGTTAATATTACTGTCCAAAGACTTGATATTAATGTTGTGCCGGTATCTTGGATGGGGATTGTCATTATTTGAATTTTATTGATTATGGTTATTGATGTGAGCATTCTTTTGTTTTATTTCAGCTAATGCATCTGCTGCAACAATTTCTGCTAACATCAACTCAATTCCCATGCTAAATGGGACAAACTTCAAGGTTTGGAAAGAGAACATATTAATTGTTCTTGGCTGCATGGATCTTGACTATGCATTAAGAACTGAACAACCCCAACCTCTCAATGCGGATAGCACTCCTGATGCAAAGAAGGAGCATGAGAAGTGGGAGCGTTCAAATCGCATGAGTCTTATGATCATTAAGCGCGGCGTTCCGGAAGCCTTCAGGGGCATAGAATCCGAAGGGATTACTAAGGCTAAAGATTTCCTTGCCGAAATTGAGAAGCGTTTTGCGAAAAACGATAAGGTAGAAACAAGCACGCTTTTAGCTCGCTTGATTTCAATGAAGTATAAGGGCAAAGGAAATATCAGGGAGTACATTATGGAAATGTCTCATATTGCTTCAAAGCTTAAGGCACTTAAACTCGATCTTTGTGACGAGTTATTAGTGCATCTGGTTTTGTTGTCTCTTCCTGCACAGTTTAACCAATTTAAGGTCAGTTATAACTGTCAAAAGGAGAAATGGACTCTAAATGAGCTCATTTCATACTGTGTGCAAGAAGAAGACAGGTTGAAGCAAGATAAGACAGAAAGTGCTCATTTGGCCTATGCCTCTAAGGATAAGGGCAAGAAAAGGAAGAATGATAAGGAAGCTGCTAAGGGTCCAGTTGAGAAGAAACAACATAAGGATAATCAGGGTTGTTTCTTCTGTAAGAAGCCTGGACATGTAAAGAAGGACTGTACAAAATATCACGCCTGGCGTGATAATAAGGGTACGTTCCTTGCTTTGGTCTGTTCTGAGGTTAATTTAGCTTCAGTACCTAGAAACACTTGGTGGTTAGACTCTGGTGCTACTACTCACATAAGTGTTTCTATGCAGGGTTGCCTGAGCTACCGAAAGCCAAGTGATGTTGAAAGACACATCTTTGTGGGCGACGGACAATCGGTAGATGTGGAAGCAATTGGGCACTTTAGGTTGTTGTTAGGAACTGGTTATTATTTGGATTTAAAAGATACTTTTGTAGTACCGTCTTTTAGACGGAATTTGGTTTCTGTTTCTGTATTGGACAAATCAGGTTATTCTTGTTCATTTGGAAACAGTCAATTCAGTTTATCTTTTAATTCAAATGTTGTGGGAACCGGTTACTTGAGTATTTATGACAACCTATATTTGCTTGATACAATTGCTTCTTACAATGAATCCTTGCATGTGGAATCACGTGGTACTAAGCGTAAATTAAATAAGGAAAATTCGGCGACATTATGGCATAAGCGCTTAGGTCATATCTCAAAAGGTAGAATTGAGCGTCTTGTGTCTGATGGCATTTTGGATTCCCTTGATTTTTCGGACTTCGACGTATGTGTTGAATGTATCAAGGGAAAACAGACCAAAGTGAAAAGATTAGGTGCCAACAGATCTTCGGATGTCTTAGAATTGATACATACGGATATTTGTGGGCCATTCCCTACGGAATCCTGGAATGGTCAACAATATTTTATATCATTCATAGACGATTACTCACGTTATGGGCACCTATATCTTATTCATGAAAAATCTGAGTCTCTGGACATGTTCAAAGCC